TTGTGTGTCATGTACTGGTGGCATTGTTGTGTGTCATGTACTGGTAGCTGCATTGTTGTGTGTCATATGTACTGGTGGCATTGTTGTGTTCCATGTACTGGTGGCATTGTTGTGTGTCTTTGTATGGTGGCATTGTTGTGTGTCATATGTACTGGTGGCATTGTTGTGTCATTTACTGGTGGCATTGTTGTGTGTCATGTACTGGTGGCATTGTTGTGTGTCATATGTACTGGTGGCATTGTTGTGTGTCATGTACTGGTGGCATTGTTGTGTGTCATATGTACTGGTGGCATTGTTGTGTGTCATGTACTGGTGGCATTGTTGAGTGTCATATGTACTGGTGGCATTGTTGTGTGTCATATGTACTGGTGGCATTGTTGTGTGTCATGTACTGGTGGCATTGTTGTGTGTCATATGTACTGGTGGCATTGTTGTGTGTCATGTACTGGTGGCATTGTTGAGTGTCATATGTACTGGTGGCATTGTTGTGTGTCATGTACTGGTGGCATTGTTGTGTGTCATGTACTGGTGGCATTGTTGTGTGTCTATGTATGGTGGCATTGTTTGTGTGTCATGTACTGGTGGCATTGTTGTGTGTCATATGTACTGGTGGCATTGTTGTGTGTCATGTACTGGTGGCATTGTTGTGTGTCATATGTACTGGTGGCATTGTTGTGTGTCATGTACTGGTGGCATTGTTGTGTGTCATGTACTGGTGGCATTGTTGTGTGTCATGTACTGGTGGCATTGTTGTGTGTCATATGTACTGGTGGCATTGTTGTGTGTCATGTACTGGTGGCATTGTTGTGTGTCATGTACTGGTGGCATTGTTGTGTGTCATATGTACTGGTGGCATTGTTGTGTGTCATGTACTGGCCGTGGTGCATATGTATGGGCATGGTCATGTACTGGTGGCATTGTTGTGTGTCATGTACTGGGGGCATTGTTGTGTGTCATGTACTGGTGGCATTGTTGTGTGTCATGTACTGGTGGCATTGTTAGTGTCATGTACTGGTGGCATTGTTGTGTGTGTCATGTACTGGTGGCATTGTTGTGTGTCATATGTACTGGTGGCATTGTTGTGTGTCATGTACTGGTGGCATTGTTGTGTGTCATGTACTGGTGGCATTGTTGTGTGTCATGTACTGGTGGCATTGTTGTGTGTCATGTATGGTGGCATTGTTGTGTGTCATGTACTGGTGGCATTGTTGTGTGTCTTTGTACTGGTGGCATTGTTGTGGTCATGTACTGGTGGCATTGTTGTGTGTCATGTACTGGTGGCATTGTTGTGTGTCATGTACTGGTGGCATTGTTGTGTGTCTTTGTACTGGTGGCATTTGTTGTGTTCATATGTACTGGTGGCATTGTTGTGTGTCATGTACTGGTGGCATTGTTGTGTGTCATAGTACGGGTGGCATTGTTGTGTGTCATGTACTGGTGGCATTGTTGTGTGTCATATGTACTGGTGGCATTGTTGTGTGTCATGTACTGGTGGCATTGTTGAGTGTCATATGTACTGGTGGCATTGTTGTGTGTCATGTACTGGTGGCATTGTTGTGTGTCTTTGTACTGGTGGCATTGTTGTGTGTCAATGTACGGGTGGCATTGTTGAGTGTCATGTACTGGTGGGCATTGTTGTGTGTCATGTACTGGTGGCATTGTTGTGTGTCATGTACTGGTGGCATTGTTGTGTGTCTATGTACTGGTGGCATTGTTGTGTGATGTGTCTTTGTGGTCATGTCTGGTGGCATTGTTGTGTGTCTATGTACTGGTGGCATTGTTGTGTGTCATGTACGGGTTGGCATTGTTGTGTGTCATGTACTGGTGGCATTGTTGAGTGTCATTGTACTGGTGGCATTGTTGTGTGTCATGTACTGGTGGCATTTTTTGTGTGTCTATGAAACTGGTGGCATTGTTGTGTGTCATGTACTGGTGGCATTGTTGTGTATCATGTACTGGTGGCATTGTTGTGTGTCATGTACTGGTGGCATTGTTGTGTGTCATGTACTGGTGGCATTGTTGTGTGTCATGTACTGGTGGCATTGTTGTGTGTCATGTACTGGTGGCATTGTTGTGTGTCATATGTACTGGTGGCATTGTTGTGTGTCATTGTACTGGTGGCATTGTTGTGTGTCATATGTACTGGTGGCATTGTTGTGTGTCATAGTACTGGTGGCATGTTGTGTGTCATATGTACTGGTGGCATTGTTGAGTGTCATATGTACTGGTGGCATTTGGTGGTCAATTACTGTGGCTTGTTGGTGTCATATGTACTGGTGGCATTGTTGTGTGTCATATGTACTGGTGGCATTGTTGTGTGTCATATGTACTGGTGGCATTGTTGAGTGTCATATGTACTGGTGGCATTGTTGTGTGTCATATGTACTGGTGGCATTGTGAGTGTCATTGTACTGGTGGCATTGTTGTGTGTCATGTACGGTGGCATTGTTGTGTGTCATGTACTGGTGGCATTGTTGTGTCTTTAACTGGTGGCATTGTTGTTTTGTCATGTACTGGTGGCATTGTTGTGTGTCATTTGTACTGGTGGCATTGTTGTGTTCATGCACTGGTGCATTGTTAGGGTGTCATATGTACTGGTGGCATTGTTGTGTGTCTTTGTACTGGTGGCATTGTTTGTGTGATATACTGGTGGCATTGTTGTGTGTATGTACTGGTGGCATTGTTGTGTGGTCAGACTTGGTGGCATTGTTGTGTGTCATGTACTGGTGGCATTTGTGTGTCATGTATTTGTGGCATTGTTATGTGTCTTTGTACTTGTGGCATTGTGTGTGTCATGTACTGGTGGCATTGTTGTGTGTCATATGTACTTTGGCATTGTTGTGTGTCATGTACTGGTGGCATTGTTGTGTGTCATATGTACTGGTGGCATTGTTGTGTGTCAATGTTACTGGTGGCATTTTTTGTGTGTCATTGTACTGGTGGCATTGTTGTATGTCATATGTACTGGTGGCATTTTTGTGTGTCATATGTACTGGTGGCATTGTGTGTCATGTACTGGTGGCATTGTTGTGTGTCATATGTACTGGTGGCATTGTTGAGTGTCATATGTACTGGTGGCATTGTTGTGTGTCATGTACTGGTGGCATTGTTGTGTGTCATGTACTGGTGGCATTGTTGTGTGTCATGTACTGGTGGCATTGTTGTGTGTCATGTACTGGTGGCATTGTTGTGTGTCATGTACTGGTGGCATTGTTGTGTGTCATGTACTGGTGGCATTGTTGTGTGTCATGTACTGGTGGCATTGTTGTGTGTCATATGTACTGGTGGCATTGTTGTGTGTCATGTACTGGTGGCATTGTTGTGTGTCATATGTACTGGTGGCATTGTTGAGTGTCATATGTACTGGTGGCATTGTTGTGTGTCATATGTACTGGTGGCATTGTTGTGTGTCATATGTACTGGTGGCATTGTTGTGTGTCATATGTACTGGTGGCATTGTTGAGTGTCATATGTACTGGTGGCATTGTTGTGTGTCATATGTACTGGTGGCATTGTTGAGTGTCATGTACTGGTGGCATTGTTGTGTGTCATGTACTGGTGGCATTGTTGTGTGTCATATGTACTGGTGGCATTGTTGTGTCATTTACTGGTGGCATTGTTGTGTGTCATGTACTGGTGGCATTGTTAAGTGTCATGACTGGTGGCATTTTTATGTGTTATGTACTGGTGGCATTGTTGTGTGTCATTGTACTGGTGGCATTGTTGTGTGTCAGATTACTGGTGGCATTGTTGTGTGTCATGAAACTGGTGGCATTGTTGTGTGTCATATGTACTGGTGGCACTTTTTTATTTTGGTCAGGGGTTCAACTGGTGGCATTGTTATGTGTCATATGTACTGGTGGCATTGTTGTGTGTCATGTACTGGTGGCATTGTTGTGTGTCAGATGTACTGGTGGCATTGTTGTGTGTCATGTACTGGTGGCATTGTTGTGTGTCATGTACTTGTGGCACTGTTGTGTGTCATGTACTGGTGGCATTGTGTGTCATGTACTGGTGGCATTGTTATGTGTCATATGTACTTATGGCATTGTTGTGTGTCATATGTACTGGTGGCATTGTTGTGTGTCATATGTACTGGTGGCATTGTTGTGTGTCATGTACTGGTGGCATTGTTGTGTGTCATGTACTGGTGGCATTGTTGAGTGTCAATGTACTGTATTGAGTGGTCATTTTTGTTGTTGTGTATGTACTGGTGGCATTGTTTGTTGTCATGTATGGTGGCATTGTTGAGTGTCATATGTACTGGTGGCATTGTTGTGTGTCATGTAGTGGTGGCATTGTTGTGTGTCATGTACTGGTGGCATTGTAGTGTGTCATGTACTGGTGGCATTGTTGTATGTCATATGTACTGGTGGCATTTTTGTGTGTCATATGTACTGGTGGCATTGTTGTGTGTCATGTACTGGTGGCATTGTTGTGTGTCATGTACTGGTGGCATTGTTGTGTGTCATGTAGTGGTGGCATTGTTGTGTGTCACATATGCTAGTGGCACTGTTGTGTGTCATGTACTGGTGGCACTGTTGTGTGTCATGTACTGGTGGCATTGTTGTGTGTCACATATGCTAGTGGCATTGTTGTGTGTCATGTACTGGTGGCATTGTTGTGTGTCACATATGCTAGTGGCACTGTTGTGTGTCACATATTCAAATTAGCATTATATTAAGAGCTCTTTTCCAGCATCAATACACCCACTGGAATGAACACGTACCACAAAAAAAAGCGTAAACCTCACCCCTGAGATCAGTACCGATGGGATCCTCCTCCAAAACCTTCATGCAACATATAACTGTACCCGTAACATTCACACTGAAGATAAACACTCATTGATGTGTAGGCTCTTTCATTCACCTGTATACAATACATAAACGTAAGTTGGGCACATTCACACCGGGGATTAACTGATGAGGGACGTTCTCTCCTCACTTGAATATCACATTCGAACGTAACTGTAACATTCACAACAGAGATCGAACACTCACCGATGGGGCCGTTCTCCTGCACTTCGCCGTAGATGGTGGCGTTGGGGAAGACGGGAGCGTTGTCGTTGATGTCTTCACTACTACCGTCACCACCGTCTCCGCCACATGTACCTGTTCCCGTTTCATCTCTCGCAGGTACGGCGGCTCCTCCGAACTCATAGAGAAGATGCTGTAATCATCACATCCTCCACCATCTGCCCCGAACCTCTTCACGTAGAGTCGTTCATCCTGCAGCTGGTTGAGTGGTCGGCGACTTATGTCTCGTTTATTAATGGGCGTCACTGTTGGCTGCATGTCTGCTCTTTTTCCCTCCGGTCCCACACTGTGTGGATCACTTGGCAAGTCACCTTCACTTCTGAAGGAAGTAGTGCTTGCAAGACTTGGTGCGAACAGACGGTGATCTTCCGAAGGTCCTTCTGACACTCCCTCACCACCAATTTCTCTACCTACCGACGATCTATTGTGTCGACTCCTCGGAGCAGTACGAAGCTTGCTAGCGTGATCACCTTTACCTTTCACGTGAAGTTTTAGCTTGTAAGCGAATGTTTGATTGAAGTTGTTATCGCTTCTATATATTACACCCCTATAAAAGTTCAGCTGACGATTTCTTTCAGCATTAAGTTTGCCTCTTGCATTATATGGTGATGTGAGTTTTGACGTACCTCTGGCAGATAATCGCCTGCATTTAACAGCATTTTGCTCATATTTTCTCTGTGTGAAATATTTTATCCGCAAAGGTTTGCTTCCCGTAGACGTGTTTGTTGTGCTGATGGCTCCTGGATGTAAGTTACCACAGCCACTGGTAAGAGCAGATATGTCTTCACTTCCACCCCACCATGACCCAGGTAACTGCTGGCTAACTTTACGACCTCTGGCTTGAGATCCATGACCCGGTCCAGGCGATAATTTCCACCTCCTGCCCCCAGCACCGATGCTTTGCCTACTGCCTCCTGTCTTACGTTTTCTGTCATTTACTATTTCCTTTGTCGTTTGGGTATTCTTGTCTCTTAACTTTCTCTTTCTCTCCCCAGCTCTCCTTCTCTTTTGTATGAACTTTCCTCTTTTCCTTTGATGTTTTGTTGTCGCCCTGTTCTCCCCTTCCTTTTTGCTATTTTTTCCGTTTATCTCATCTTTTGGTAGATCTTCTTACCCTTGGCTTCCGGTTCTGCTTTATTTCTCACATTTTGTGGCACATTTACTCCAAGCCTCCTAACGTTCTCTTCCACACCTTTTCCAGCCCTTTCACTGCTCTCTTCCACATCCTCTCCAAGCCACTCATCTTTCTTCTCACCCTCCTTATTCTTCACTAACACAGCATCGTCTGATCCCATGGGATCCCTGGTGAGAAAATAGGGATCTATGGGTCCAGTGAGATCTTGATACAAGAAATAATCACCTTCTTCAGCTTCGGGTTTCTGAGACATGACATGATCCGCCTGTACTAGTCCACTGGGATCCCGAGAAATAGACATATTGATTCTCTTCTGACATTTGAGGGTCGAGCGATGTGACTGACTGTTGTTTTGGTGGCTTCTCAGGGTTGTGTGGCATGATAAACTGGTCTTCTGGTGGTGCTTTTTGTTTGTGTGCTGTGACAGAATTGACGTGTGGTGACTCATGGGAAATGTTTGGGGAAAGTTGTGGAGGATGTGTGATCCATAGCCTTCTGGAGGCTGGAGAACCAGCTGGTGGCTCCTGAAGGCCCTGAGAGGATCTTTGAGGGACGTGCCCGGTCCTCTGAGAAGAGTGTGAGGGGTCCTGAGAGCCGTATGATGGCCCCTGAACACTGTGGTGTAGGGGCAGATGTTGAGGGTTCGTGAGCCTGGGTCGCCTGGAGGCTCTGGAAGCAGCTACCAGGGAGGGAGACACTCGCTGTCCGTCCCTCACCTGCACCTTCACCTTCCACGTCTCTCTGCCCAGCGGCGGGTCCCGGTCCAGCGCCTGCAAGAGTACCACAACATATCATTACATGTGTATAACACCTTGCAACTTGTGTACAACACTTTACAACTTGTGTATAGCACTTTGCAACCCATGTACAATACTTAAAAACCTATATACAGCAACATACAATCAGTGTACAACATATTACATGCACAGTACCACACTCTGCATAAGTCTTAGTACTTGTAACAGAGGTGGGAATGAAAGAAGATAATGCTCATGGATAAGACATCATCTTCACTGCCTTCTTACAACTTCTTTATATAGTGTCGCTGCTCCACACTATAAAATTTGATAGAATTATTCAATAGCTGCTTTTCTGCTGACAGGTATTTATTATCAGTTAGAAAGTTTTGCCTGGTATATAAACAACTCGGTTCATAAATTTCCGTAACATCAGCCACTAGCTATTACTACGGTTGCTACAAGGAACTAGCTGAGTAGATCATCCTACGATCATGACCCACGTGAGGATAAATTTATTCTGGTAAATTTATGAGAGGTGATAAACCTGCGTGGGCTATTCACCAGAAGTGGAAAAATATTATTATTTTTTTATTAACACACTGGCCGATTCCCACCAAGGCAGGTGTAACCCGGAAAAGAAGAAACACTTTTACCGTCATTCACTCTATCACTGTCTTGCCAGAGGCGCGCTTACACTACAGTTATAAAACTGCAACATTAACACCCCTCCTTCAGAGTGCCGGCACTGTACTTCCCATCTCCACTAAGACTAGTAGCTCAAAGGTAAACGGAATGGGCCCGGATTCAATAATCGAACAAATCGAGACGTAGCTCCTGATTCTTGTTGTCCATGTTCGTCCAGCAGTAGACAAGTATATTAAAGTTAGTCGACTGTTGTGGATTGCATCTTGGGGAGGAGAACCGAACGACCATCATGAAAAAAATCAACACTGCTTTACTGTCTTGGGTAATCCTGAGTTAACAGTCCCAAGAAAATCTTCTTAAGTGGTCCAAGATGCAGGTTTTGCTAATGGACAATTCACGCATCGAACATGTAATAACTCATGTTAAACTACGAAAGAGATACATAATTGTATGCAAGTGTTTACGTAACGATACGCAAGTTAGGCTACAGTAAATGTATATTTTGAAATGACTGACGTAAGACGCAGGGGGAGATGAAAGAGGGAGACAAGGAGAACCAAATAACAAAAAAATTCAGAAAAAAATTGTGAATTACAAACGTGACTTCAGAGTAAATTATATTTTTTATCAAAATTACCCAGAACTAAAGAAAGTGAGCGTCTAAACTCACAAACGGACGATTCAGATATTGAAGTTAAGGCTCCATCTGCTAGCTAGTCTTGAAATACCTTAGGAGCTTCCACGGAAAATATGAGGTAAGCAGACCCGGCGGTAGCTGAGGTTAAAGGTCGAGTATTTTACTGTCAAGGGATGTTATTGGAGCGAGTCTGACAGTATTGGACAGTTACTGAGGACGCTGCAAGAAAACGGATAAGAAACCATCCTTGTCGTTCTCTCGAACCTCCGCACTACTCCTCCACTTCTCTATTTCTGAGTTACATTCTTTCTGATCATTCTCCTTTTATTATTACTTCTCCCTAATAATTTTCCATCAACAAAGAGGACGGAGTAAGTGCCAGTATACTGGATGGGGTGAATGCTAATATATGGCACGGAATGGGTACCACGGGACTAAGTGCCAATATATGGGAGAGTCTTGGTGCCACTGTGCAGGGCAGAGTGTGTGTATGTGTCAGTATACTGGGAAAAGTGGATTTTACTATACTAAACGATGTAACAGATCAATAAGGATAAATATGAGAGTAGTCACTTAATGATGATCAATGTATTATTGTCCAGAGGCCTCAGGCGCCGTTGGTATCACCCTTAACAAGAAAGGTAACGAGGTGGTCTAGCAATCTTATTGGCTGAAGCAACACTGTGTTAAGATTAGAATAGCACTAGGACACAACACTCACCTTCAGCTGAAGAAGGTGACCTGTGTGGGGGTTGATAGTGAAGTAGGCGTGAGAGGGGGAGAGACCATCCACACCATCACCACCAACACTGTACACCAGCCCTGCTGAGTCCACCCTGTCCGGGTCCGCAGCCTCCACCTGCAACACAATTATTGCCTTAGTACTGGCGCCTGCAACTTAAACACAATCACCCGCGACATTAATACTTAATACCTGCACCTGCAACACAAGTATTTTATCTCTGACAATCTGTATACTTGTGTACACTCACCAATTTGTGCCTGCGTGGGTCGACTCGTTTATCTAGACCATCCTCTGAAGTTTCGGCAGCCTTCATTATTGGTTTCTGGCCACTTGAGCCATATCATAACTATTCTTAAAACTGTGAATGAAGTTTGCCTCTTCCACTTCCCTATCCAGCTACACTGGCCCACTTCCCTGAAGCTGAACAAGCCATATTTCCTTTATTCCATCTGTGTTTTCATATTTTCACCTACGTTCTCTTTCCTCTGGTCCAAAGTTGTCAGGTTTAGTTTCTACAGTCTCTCAATGCATGTGCTTGACCAGGTGGTAGATCTATGTAGGTACTGCATATTCTTGGTATCCTAAAGAATACCTCATTAAGGTTCCTGAAGGCTGTTCTGAGATAACCTTACCTTACATACGCATCATAATAATTAAAGTTAATGTGTTTCTCCAGCGATATATTTGTTAAGGCGTTCCAGCCCAATTTTGTTGGTAAGATTATTTTTTCTCATTAATTGTGGTTTCTTACTAGTTCATTGCAAAAATTATTCTTATAGCCTCTTCTTCCCTCACGTGTTGGTTCATAATAATTTTTTTCCATTGTTGTATTAGCGTCACTCTGTACATCTCCGACCTCCCCAGGATTTTTTTTTTGTGATTAAACTAATCTATACTCATTAACTTTTGTCTTGCTTGGTCTCTGACCTGCTGTCCGTAAGCTTCTATTTTTGCCATCTTGATATCCACATATACCATCCACTGTACCCTGTTTTTTGGATGTATGAGGGGAAAGGAAATGTAATCGGTGTATAACACAGTTATGGTAGTGATATCTTGGTCCTTCTTTTGCTAATGTTCAAGCTGTGTAATATTTGTAATTTACTGTGTTCAATTTTCTGCTCACTGAATCTTCATTGTTTTCATCAACATGCTCCTACATTGTTCTTTTATTTTCACACTGCATGATACCTCTGGTAAAAATATTACTACCACTTTTGGGTCATTTTGAAGGTAATGATGTGTGTTTCATTTGCCGTTGTTTGGGTTAAGGTTACCAAACCATCCACACAGGTTACCAAACCTGTGTGGATGGAAGGTTGTGGAGTCGTGTTGTATTGGGAAGAGTGGAAAGAACTGTGAGAGAAGTTAAAGAGGTTGTCGTTCGAGGAGGGGAAATAATTGTGACTGGAGAAGTGGGAAAGGTTGTGACAGGAGTAGAGAAAGAGGTTGTGATAAAATAAATGGAGGAGGATTTGGCTTTAAGGGTCAATATTAAAAAAAAAGATAACAGACAGGGAGAAAATGTGTGTAGCCAGGTTGGATGGATGTTCGGTGGGATGAGGAATGTACACGAGATGATATCAGAACTACAACAGAGTGATTACCTGTTTATTGACTGCCTGAGTATTATATACGCCGTAACCATGACTTACCTAGTTTTTCCCGTTACTTTCGGTTACTTTTAGACTTCTCGTACACCGTCATTCAGTTCCAGGACTAATTTTGCTGCAAACCTTTGCACGTCACCGAACCTACGACTGTACCTGTGCATTCGTATATCCTTATATTCACGAATTAGTTAAAAATTAACTGCGGCAATTTTTTTCCAACGATTTAAAATAACCCATAACAAAATCCTTTGAATCTTATCGAATTATAAAAACTGAATAACTTCAATAAAAAAAAATATGGACATTATACAAGCTTCAAAAATACATGAATAATGTGTAACAAAAGATTTAGTAAATCATCTACAGCTGATTCTGACAGCTTCATGTATTGAACATTAAAATGGTATAAAATACCGACAGGTTGTTAGGTAAGACACATATGCAACAGTTAGGTATCTTTATTTCGAAACGTTTCGCCTACACAGTAGGCTTCTTCAGTCGAGTTCAGAAAAGTTGATAGAAGCAGAAGATACTTGAAGACGATGTAATCAGTCCATCACCCTTAAAGTTTTGAGGTGGTCAGTCCCTCAGTCTGGAGAAGAGCATTGTTCCATAGTCTGAAACAATACTATGGAACAATGCTCTTCTCCAGACTGAGGGACTGACCACCTCAAAACTTTAAGGGTGATGGACTGATTACATCGTCTTCAAGTATCTTCTGCTTCTATCAACTTTTCTGTACTCGACTGAAGAAGCCTACTGTGTAGGCGATACGTTTCGAAATAAAGATACCTAACTGTTGCATATGTGTCTTACCTAACAATAGCTTCATGTATGACAATAACATACACAACAATCATTCAATACATCACAAAGTTATGATCAGCATGATTATCCATGTTCATACATCTAATAATACCTAATAATACCATGTTCATACATCTAATAATACCTAATAATACCATGTTCATACATCTACATACTTCAAATAATATTAATTCGCTTGGTTATAAATGTCAGACGATGTTTACAAATCACAATGCAAACAACTGTGTTTGATCTCCGTGATAATTACAAAATTATCGTAGCTATAATTGAGAATTTAGTGGTATAATTACTGGGATAGTTATGTGCACAGGTGAGGGCTGGCTAAATTATGTACCTGTCGCTAAATCACTCTACCTGTGGGCGGTATAGTCATCTCCAGCCATGGTAGAGCGTTCGCCTAACAAGCAAAAGTTCCAGGGTTCGATTTCCGGGCATGATGAATATTACGGGCCAGTCACCATCACATTTGTTGCCCCTGTTAACCTAACAGTTAGCAAGTACCTAGTTAAGACACATATGCAACAGTTAGGTATCTTTATTTCGAAACGTTTCGCCTACACAGTAGGCTTCTTCAGTCGAGTACAGAAAAGTTGATAGAAGCAGAAGAGACGTGAAGACGATATAATCAGTCCATCACCCTTGAAGTTTTGAGGTGGTCAGTCCCTCAGTCTGCAGAAGAGTATTGTTCCATATTCTGAAACAATATGGAGTTGAAGTGACAGGATGGAGCCTTATATACCACCAGAAGGTGAGATGTAGACCACTAACTGTTGCATGTATGTCTTACTTAACAACCTGTCGGTATTTTATACCATTTTGATGTTCACCCAGGTACCTAGGTAGTAAAGAACTCTTGAGGTAATACCGATTATCGTATTTCATAGCCTGTAAATGAGTAGAGGAACAGCTCTTAGCCTGTAAACAATCTGTAAATGAGTACGGGAACAGTTCTTAGCTTGTAAATGAGTAGAGAACAGCACTTAGCCTGTAAACGAATGGATCAACAGGTCTTAGTACATCAGCCTGTAAATGAGAGGAGTAACAGCTTATAGCCTGGACACTCAACTACATAAAAGAAAACAAAATAGGACCTTCTCGTGTCACTGTGCATCGTAGCTTCAAGCTTCTCGTGTCACTGTGCATCGTAGCTTCAAGCTTCCCGTGTCACTGTGCATCGTAGCTTCAAGCTTCCCGTGTCACTGTGCATCCCAGCTTCAAGCTTCCCGTGTCACTGTGCACGTAGCTTCAAGCTTCCCGTTTTTCACGTGCACGTAGCTTAAAGCTTCCCGTGTCACTGGATCGTAGCTTAACTTCTCGTGTCACGTGCATCGTATTTCAGTTTCCCCGTGTCACGGGCATCGTAGCTTAAGCTTCGTGTCATTTGGTCATCGTACCTCAACTTCCCGTGTCATGTGCTCGTAGCTTAACTTCCCTGTCATGTGCATCGACTTTAAAGCTTCCGTGTCACTGTGCATCCCCCCCGTATGTTCTAAGCCGCCCCGTGTCACTGTCATCGTACTTAAAGCTTCCCGTGTCCCATGTGTTCAACCCGTAGCACAATTTTCCCCGTGCACTGTAAATCGAGTTTTCAAGCTTCCCCGGTCACTGTGCATCGAGTTCAAGCTTCCCTTCCTGTGCTTTGAAGTTAAGCTTCCCGTCACTGTGCACTTGCTTCAAGCTTCCGGCATGTGCATCGTAGCTTCAGCTTCCCGTGTCCGGGTGCACTGGGTTAAAGTTCCCGTGTCATGTGCATCGAAGCTTCAACTTCCCGTTCACTGTCATCTAGTTAAGTTCTCGGACTGGCATCGTAGGGTTCAAGCTTCCCGTGCACTGTGCCAAGCTAAAGTTTCCCCCAAAAAGCCCTTCCCCGTTCATGTGCATCGTACCTTCAAGTTTCCCCCGTGCACTGGCATGTAGCTTCAAGCTTCCCTGTCACGTGCACGTAGCTTAAGTTTCCGGTACGGCACTAGCTTCAACTTTTCGGTCACGTCTCGAACTCAAGCTTCCCTGTCATGGAACGGCTCAAGCTTCCCCTGTCACTGTGCAGTAGCTTCAAGTTCGTGTCACTTCCTAGTTAAAGCTTTTCTCCATGTCATCGAGTTCAAGCTTCCCGTGTCACTGGCACGTATTTTAAGCTTCCTGTCACTGGCATCTAGTTTTAATTCCCCTCGGTCCTGTGCATGAAGTTTAACTTCCCGTGCACTGGCATCAAAGCTTCAAGCTTCCGTGTCATGGCACGTAGCTTAAAGCTTCCGGTCACGTGTCTAGGTTCAAGCTTCTCGTGTCACTGTGCATCGAGGTTCAAGTTTCCCCCGTGTCACTGTGCATCATAGCTTCAAGCTTTTCCCTGTCACTGTGAAACGTATTCATCCTTCTTGTCACTGTGCTGGCTCAAGCTTCCGGTCACGGGCATCATAGCTTAAAGCTTCCCGTGTCATGGCATCGTACTTCAAGCTTCCCGTGTCACTGTGCACGAGTTTTCAAGTTTCCGTGCACTGGCATCGTACTTCAAGCTTCCCTTTTTCACGTGATCGTGCTTAAGCTTCCGTTCACTGTGCTCGTAGTTTAAAGTTCTGTGTCACTGGCATCGTAGCTTAAAGTTTTCCCCGTTCACTTTTAAAACGTAGCTTCAAGCTTCCGTTCACTGTGCTCGTAGCTTGAAGTTCCCGTTCA